ATCATAAGATTTTAAGCTCGGTATTGCGAATTTTCGCAAACGGGTCACACGTGATTACAGCTGAGGAGGACTCGAAGCATGTTGCGTTGCTGGTGGATATTTCTAATAATTCAAGAGAGATCCACTTTGGGGCCAAATTTGCAATTTGGGTGGAACGGAAGATGGAGTAAGTACAGGGGTGATTCTGCAATTTTCAGAACTGTTTCAGAAAGGGAGGTGGATTTCCATAAATTACTGATTGACCCCCACTTGGGGGGCATTTCCGGTTTAAGGACCAGAATTAAAACTGGTGTATAATATAGGGACCCAATAGTAATCATCCCAAGTTTATTATAAATATTATAATAAATTAAAGTTTTCTTAAATCGTAAATCGTAAAATTTGATCGATTTGTGTATTGAAGATTTATTTTAGCATTTGAATCGACTTAGGTATGAATGGAATAAATCGTACGATTTGAAGCTTAAATTAGTATTGCGAATTTTCATAAATGAGTCACACGTGATTACAACCGAGGAGGAGTCGAAGCATGTTGCTTTTGTGGCAGATATTTCGGATATTGCAAGAGAGGTCCACTTTGGGGTTAAATTTGCAATTTGAGTGGAGCTGGTGGGAAGATGGAGTAAGTATAGGGGTGATTCTGCAAATTTTAGAACTGTTTCAGTCAGGGAGGTAGGTTTCGAGAAATTACAAATTGACCCCCACCTTGGGGGCATTACCGGTTTAGGGACAAATATTACAAATGGTATATAATACAGGGGCCAAAACTGTAAATATTCAAAGTTTATTATAAATAATATAATAAATTAAAGTTTTCTTAAATCGTAAATCGTAAAATTTGATAGATTTGTTGGTATTGAAGATTTATTTCTATATTTGAATCGGCCCAGGTATGAATGAAATAAATCGTACGATTTGAATCTGAAATCATAAGATTTTAGGATCGGTATTGCGATTTTTCGTAAATGAGTCACACATTGTTACAGCCGAGGAGGAGTCGAAGTCGGCTGCGTTGGTGGCGGATATTTCGGATATTACAAGAGGGATCCACTTTGGGGTTAAATTTGCAATTTGGGTGGAGCGGCTATGAAGATGGAGTAAGTATAGGGGTGATTCTGCAATTTTCAAAACTATTTCAGCAAGGGAAGTGGATTTCCATAAATTACTAACTGACCCCCACTTATGGGGGGCATTTCCGGTTTAAGGAGCAGAATTAAAAATGGTATATAAAATAGGGACCCAAAGAGTAATCATCCCAAGTTTATTATAAATATTATAATAAATTAAAGTTTTCTTAAATCGTAAAATTTGATCGATTTGTGCTATTGAAGATTTATTTTATCATTTGAATCGACTTAGGTATGAATGAAATGAATCGTACACTTTAAAGTTTAAATTATAAGATTATAGGCTCGGTATTGCGAATTTTCGTAAATGAGTCACACGTGATTACAGTCGAGGAGGAGTTGAAGCATGTTGCTTTTGTGGCGGATATTTCGGATATTGCAAGAGAGATCCACTTTGGGGTTAAATTTGCAATTTTGGTGGAGCTGGTGGGAAGATGGAATAAGTATAGAGGTAATTTTGCAAATTTCAAAACTGTGTCAGTCATGGAGGTGGGTTTCAAGAAATTACAAATTGACCCCCACTTGGGGGGCATTACCGGTTTAGGGACAAAAATTACAAATGGTATATAATACAGGGGCCGAAATTGTAAATATCCGAAGTTTATTATAAATAATATAATAAATTAAAGTTTTCTTAAATCGTAAATAGTAAAATTTGATAGATTTGTTGGTATTGAAGATTTATTTCAATATTTGACCCGACCTAGGTATGAATGAAATAAATCGTACGATTTGAATCTTAAATCATAAGATTTTAGGCTCGGTATTGCGATTTTTTGTAAATGAGTCAGACATTGTTACAGCCGAGGAGGAGTCGAAGCCGGCTGCGTTGGTGGCGGATATTTCGAATATTGCAAGAGAGATCCACTTTGGGGTCAAATTTGTAATGTGGGTAGAGCGGCAGGGAAGATGGAGTAAGTATATGGGTGATTCTGCAATTTTCAGAGCTTTTTCAGGTAGAGTGGTGGATTTCTAGAAATTACAAATTGACCCCACATGGGGTGTATTTCTGGTTTAAGAACCAAAATAAAAAATAGTATATAATACAGGGACCAAAACTGTAAATATCCCAAGTTTATGATAAATAATATAATAAATAAAATGTTTCTTAAATCTTAAATCGTCAAAATTGATCGATTTTCTGGTATTTAAGATTTATTTTAACATTTGAATCACCTTAGGTATAAATGAATTGAATAGTGAATCATAAGATTTTAAGGTCGGTATTGCAAAATTTCCTAAAGGAGTCACATGCGATGACAGTGAGTATGAGTCGAGGCATGCTGCGTTGGTGGCGGATATTTCGGGTATTGCAAGAGAGATCCACTTTGGGGTCAAATTTGCTATTTGTGTGGAGTGGATGGGAAGATGGAGTAAGTATAGGGGTGATTCTGCGATTTTCAAAAATGTTACAACCAAGGAGGTGGATTTTTGTAAATTACTAATTGACCCTCACTTGTGGGATATTTTCGGTTTAAGGACCAAAATTGAAAATTGTATATAATATATGGACCTAAACTATAATTATCCCAACTTTATCATAAACAATATAATAAATTATAGTTTTCTTAAATCTTAAATCGTAAAATTTGATCAATTTGTTGATATTTAAGATTGATTTTAACTTTGGTATCGACTTAGGTATGAATGAATTGAATCGTAAGATTTGTATCGTAAATCATAAGATTTAAAGCTTGGTATTGCGAATTTTCGCAAACGAGTCACAAGCGATTACAACTGAGGAGGATTCGAAGCATACTGCGTTGCTGGCAGATCGGATATTGAAAGAGAGATCCACCTTGGTGTCAAATTTGCAATTTGGGTGGAGCGGCTATGAACATGAAGTATAGGGGTGATTCTGCAATTTTCAGAAATGTTTCAGCAAGGGAGGTAGATTTCCATAAATTACTAATTGACCCCCACATGGGGGCATTTCCGGTTAAAGGACCAGAATTAAAAATGGTGTATAATTGAGGGATCCAAACAGTAATCATTCCAAGTTTATTATAAATATTATAATAAATTAAAGTTTTCTTAAATCGTAAATTGTAAAATTTGATCGATTTGTTGATATTTAAGATTTCTTTTAGCATTTCAATCGACTTACGTATGAATAAATTGAATCCTAAGATTTGACTCATAAATCATAATATTTTAGGGTCGATATTATGAATTTTGTAAGAAAACTTTAATTCATTATATTATTTATAATAAATTTGGGATAATTACAGTTTTGGTCCCTATATTATATACCATATTTTAATTTTGGTCCTTAAACAGGTAATGGCTCCCCATGTGGGGGTCAATTTGTAATTTCTGGAAATCCACCTTGTTGGCTGAAACAGTTTTGAAAATTGTAGAAGCACACCTATACTTACTCCATCTTCCCAACCGCTACACCCAAATTGCAAATTTGACCAAAGTGGATTTGTCTTGCAATATCCGAAATCCGCCACCAATGAGACTCATCTTCAGCCATAATCGTGTGTGACTCATTTATGAAAATTTGTAATAGGAAGCTTAAAATCTTATGCTCTACGATTCAAATTTTACGACTCAATTTATTCATACCGAAGTCGATTCAAATGTTATAATAAATCTTAAATATCAACAAATTGATCAAATTTAACCATTTACTATTTAAGAAACATTTAATTTGTTATATTATTTATTATAAACTTGGGATAATTACAATTTTGGTCCCTATATTATATACCATATTTTAATTTTGGTCCTTAAACAAGTAATGGCTCCCCAAGTGGGGGTCAATTTGTAATTTCTAGAAATCCACCTCGTTGGCTGAAACAGTTCTGAAAATTGTAGAATCACCCCTATACTTACTTCATCTTCCCAACCGCTACACCCAAATTAATTTGACCACACAGTGGATCTCTCTTGCAATATCCGAAATATCCGCCACCAACGCAGCATGGTTAGACTCTTCATCAGCTGTAATCGCTTGTAACTCGTTTACGAAAATTTGAAACACTGAGCTTAAAATCTTATGATTTACGGTTCAAATCTTACGATTCAATTTATTCATACCCAAGTCGATTCAAATGGTAAAATAACTCTTATATATCAATAAATCGATAAATTGTACGATTAACAATTTAAGAAAACTTTAATTTATTATATTATTTAAAATAAACTTGAGATAATTACAATTTTAATCCCTGTATTATATACTATTTTTAATTTTGGTCCTTCAACCGGAAATGCCCCCAGGCGGGGGTCAATTAGTATTTTTTTTGGAAATCCACCTCCCTTGCTCAAACAGTTCTGAAAATTGCAGAATCACCCCTTCGTAGCCGGTCCACCCAAATTGCAAATTTGACCCCAAAGTGGATCTCTCTTGCAATATCCAAAATATCCACCACCAACTTAGCATGCCTCGACTCCTCATCGGCTATAATCGCGTGCGACTCATTTACAAAAATTCGCAATACCGAGCTAAAAGTCTTATGATTTACGATTCAAATCTTACTATTCAATTCATTCATACCAATGTCGATTCAAATACATCAAAACCACAAGAGTACACAAAAACAGAGATGTTTCAGCAAAGACATACACTTATAATTGTAACTAGTGATCTTGCCGAGTTGAACAATTGGCGGTGGGCACAAACACCATCATAAACTAGCAACAATACCTGCTAAAGTTTTTGAAGAACTTGTTCCCTCTTGGCAGATTCGCAGCTAAAAAACAATAACCGATTACAATTTCAAAGAATAAATTGTAAATAATAAAAGAGCATAACGGAAACAAAAATTATGCAACTCCCTATACATTTCAAAAAAATATGGTATTGGTTAAAGAAATGTACTAATTCTGCAACTCCCTGTACATTTAAAAAAAAATTATATTGGATAAAGAAATGTACTTATTTAGAACCATATGCCAACGAGCAAGACTATGCGCTAAACAAACAAAAATAAAATCAAAATTACTCAATGAGCAAGAAAAATTCTTAAATACCCAAACTCCCTCGGTTTTTTCTGATATCCTGTAATAAACAAAACTATTACAAAAACCTGGTGATATCCTATACCAGTGGCTTTCCAGTATCCCGACTTTGAGGCCTGATTTGGCCTTTAGCCATTGGGGTACTTCCGCTCTCTCCAACTGAAGATACACACCTCTTGCTCGCCGAAATTGACCTTGCTGAAACAGTATATGATTGAGACGACCTCACCTTCTCGTAAATGGTGTCGGACGAGGTCGGCTCGGTGACCGAGGGCCTGTGTATTATTTGGGTTTGCTTCTACCGAGGCACTGTTCAGGAAATTGGGCCTTTTAGTTACACAAAAAAGAACAGTTCATATTAGTAGCACACAGATAATTCATTAGGCACAACTACTAACATAGCTAACTTTAGAACATAATTTGGCAGTAGCACTAAACCAGGCAATATCATGTCCAAATAGACAACTTCATCTATGAGATTGATAATTTCTAATTAAAATAAGGTTGAACTCACACGTCGAAGTTCTTCTCTTCACAGAAGTTTCTGAAGGCAACACACAAATTCTTGACCCTCAGGGCATCTATGCTGGTAATTTAAACCCAAAAAACACCAAAGTCAGGAAATTTAATCGCTGTTATTTTTGTGGAGTATATCAAATAACAGATAAAAAAGACAGAAGAAAAAACATCATATGTCTCCACGATAAGGAAACCACACACGCACAAAAAGAACGAAACAACAAAGACAACGAATTATTATCTGGAAGTGCTTGCTACCTTTGAAGTGGTGAACATGAGCAGCATCCTGGTCAAAATCTAAAACATGTTATTGACAAGGTAATTTGAAAATTGGTATTAATAGAAAAAGAAAAACATTATGACCAACGGGAAAGCAAAAACAAAACAGAGAGAAAGAAAATGGAACTCACAGGGCAATCGCAAATTGTTAAGAAGTTACTCTGAATCCGCAAGGAAATGGGAAAACAACTTCGAATACAAAATCCGGCTGCTCCATTCTTATCTACAAAACCAGTACAAAATGGGGAAGAAAAGAAAAAATTAAAAAGTAAAATACCTCGGGATAATGAGAAGTGGAGAGGTGAACCTTCCACATCCTAAGCACTGACAGTAAAACTACTGTTAATAGCAAGCGAAGATATAAATTTCTATTTATTGCAGCTCTTAAAGATTTACAAGGAAAATAATTACCATTCAACTACAACAAACACAAATCCATGTAGAAACCTCTGTATAGTCTTGCTTCATAGTTCCTTCATGAAGAACCTCCTGTTAAATAGCAATGAAGGAAACAAAAGACAACATAATGGATAGTGTTTAAACAATTGAAGTAAGAGTGAAATTACATTAATAAATTGACTTAAAAAAAAAGATAAACCTGTTAAAAAACAAAAAGGCCATCAAACGGTCTTTTTTCGATCATGCATTCTTCTATATAAGCAGGACAGTCATAAAAAAAATTCACATTTTGGTAAATTCCTGAAAATAACAATAAATAATCCAAAAACAGCCACAAAGATCGGCAATCATTACATACACCGAAAAGGGTCGTCGACGAAAACAAGATCCAATTTTTGAAGAAAATATTCCGGGCTTTTATGCAGACCTGTTTCCTGATGATTTCGTCGCTATGATTTCGCGATATGATGAAAAGTAGAACAGACAAAGGTGGCAATGGCAGGTATAACTTAACACAAATGTTTAGTTACCTTCGATAGGAAATCTCTACTGGCCCGTATTCCTCCTCAAATCTGAGCGCCATGCCATAAATCTCCAATCATTTATACAAAGGAATATTTAAAACCGAAAAAATGAAAATAAAAAACCTTTGTTTTCTTTACAGCAAAAATGAGTGCCGCTACAAACATAACCAAGGATCCATAAAATATGAGAAAAAAAAATCCATTTGAACAATCAGATAACCATGAAAGCAAGGATTTCAAAAAAATATACTATTATATCTTTCCAAACTGAATAAGAATTGGATAAAAGAAACCAAATGTAAACAAACTTGCTTTCTGGAATCCCTAAATCAAAGAAGAAAGAACAGGTTGAATCACGTGTAGAAAGAAAAAAAAAAAAAAAAAAAAAAAAAAAAAAAAGAAGTAACATTATGGGAAAACATGAAAACAACAAAAAAACAAAAAAAAATTGCCCTGCACATAGATACATATTTATATATAATACCATATTAATGACTCCCAACAGCCAGTTCTTCGATAAAACATGACGCCGCAGTACTGAGAGATTTTCCCGACTTGGGCCCAGGTCAAGTTGAAGGAAGCCCAATACCACGAAATCATAATAGACCGCAAGGGGTAATTAACGAGGTATAAAACCTACGAGATAGGCTTGCGAGATAATCCCATGCCAGACGAAATAAACATTACGTCGGCATCTCGAAAGTCATACAGGGGACAATTCTGGGACGTAAAGGATGGGTGGCAGGTTTGAACTGATTGAGGAATAGTGAAAAGAACCAATAAGAACTCGCCACGTGGCCGAATAGACAAGATGACGGCTTTTTTATCTTGGAAATATAAACAAGCCCAAAAAGGCCCATATTGTAGTAGTATATATACTAGGTCATGTATAGAGAAAAAAGACAGTTCTTCTTGGAAAACAAAAGGAATTCAATAAATTGGACCACCCACATATATTATCTTATGCACAATATCTTCATATGTTATTTAATAGTCTTTCTTAACTGCATTATTATGTGATCTCATAAGCACACAAGGTATGAATATTCAAACTTATGGCAATCCATTGAATATAACAAAAAGCTATAAAACCTATATTATTGTATGTGGCTAATTTAAGCTCATCAACATGAATCCAAAAAAAATAGAAAAGAGAGAAACTAAACTCACAATTGATTCCACTAATAACCGAAAGCGCAACATCCTTAGCTCCCTGTTCGTACACTTCTCTCCTCGAGCAACCACAAGTCGAAAATTACGAAACAAAAAATTGTTTTTTCACAATTGCCTGCCGCAAAAGGTAACAGCAAAAAAAAAAAATGGGTAAAATTGTAGAAAGAAAAAATGTTCGAGGAAGAAGGAGAAAGTAAATTGAACGGATAAGGAGACAAATAGAAGATTTAGATGGCGGTTGAATAAAATTTGCAGCCGTGGCAGAAGGAGATGGGCGCACGCAGGAGAAGCAGGAGGCAGAAGGGCGTGAAGCAGGCTGCTGAGCGCAGCTGGCCGCGGAAACCGACCATGGGCCCACAAATTTAAGATATAGACGAGGAGGGCGGCGAGGCATACTACTGGAGGAAAAAAGCGGCGCCATGTGATAGGGGCATCGGGCGAAGCGGCGGCGGACTCCGGGCGAACGGGTGGCGGAGGTCAACAGTTGTGGGCAATATGTGAGGTCGGAGTACTGAAACGGCGCCGTTCTGTAGTGAGCAGAGTAAAAGAGAACGGAACGACGTCGTTTGGCAATGAGCGGAATAAAAGAAAAGCAGAAATCAAGCTGTAGTGAGCAGAGTAAAAGAGAACGGAACGACATTGTTTGGCAATGAGCGGAATAAAAGAAAAGCAGAAATCAAGCAGCCGTGTCGCGGTCGAGCTGCTTGCAAAATAAATGAAAAAGAAAACAATAATTGGAGGGAGGGTTGAAACGGCGCGGTTTTGGCATTAAATAGGGCAAAAGAAAAGGATAAGAAAAGGCATAAAAAAAATAGCAGATCCATATATATATATATACTTATAATTAATTAATATATTATATATATAATATTTTAATTTTAACAAACAAATTCAAAAAATATATATTGGATATTAATACATTAGAAAAAACATTAAATAATTCAATTTGAACAAATAAAATGCAAATATAAAAAAATCAAATAGTCTACAGTTGTTTCGATATCGATGGCGGACGCCGACAACAAGAAGAACCCACAAACATCTACGCCGCCTCAGCCTACAGCTACCTCACCGGCCGCTCCGGTTTCCTCTTCACCCTCTGCGGTCCGAGCTGCGTCCAAGGCCTCGTCGGTCCGTGCTACATAACCAAAATACCCACCTCCGTCTTCGCCGCCATCGATTGGGCAGCCACGGGAGTATGGGACGCCCCGACGTAGGGATGGCAACGGGTCGGTTCTGGGCCGGGTTTGCCTAAACACAAGACCCGACCCACGAAAAATATATAAAACCAAGACCCGCCCCAACCCGTTTTAGCTTAGACCCAGACCCGCCCCAACCCAAACCCTAACTAAACGGTTCTGACCCGCCAGACCCGCTAGACCCATTAGCATACAAAAAGTTTAATATTTTTTAACTTTCATAACATTTTGCTTGTATATTTTTACGAAACAATCTCAATGCTAAAATACAATATTTTAAAAATCTCTACGAGTTTTATAACATGAACAATAAATTACAATTAATTATATTTAACTTCGATAATAAGTAAAATTCAAAATGCAAGACAATTAGCGGTGGTCGACAAGTGGTAAATATTACTCACGAAAATGAGAGTCGAAAAATAAAATAGTGAAAATAGGTAAATGAGAATAGACAAGATGGAAATTGATATTGATAGTTATATATATATATATATATATATATATATATATATATATATATATATATATATATGCGGGTCGGTTCTGGGTCGGTTCCAATAAGACCCGTAACCCGCCCCAGAACCATCCGGTTCTAGAAGCTTAAACCCATTACCCGACCCAGAACCATTTAGCTGACCCAGACCCGCCCAAACGGGTCGGTTCCGGGTCCAAGACCCGCCAAACCCGTACCCATTGCTCAACTGAATTCACAAAATGATCCCATACACGTATCAAGACTATATCCTTGAGGACAAAGATATTTTGAGCGGGCGGGAATGATATGTTTTATTATTTAATTTAATTAGAATTAGTCAAATTATATGTTAGTGGGTAGTTTTTTATTAGTGGGCATGAATTAAATTAGTGGGTTAGTGTGGTTAAGGGGTTAGTGGGGTGGTAGTTAATTATTATTTATGAGTATTATAAATAGGGTAATTAGAATGTTACGTATTATGAAGTTGAAGAATCAATTAATCTCCCTTTGTCTTCTCTTAATTCTCGTCTCTAATTCTTCTCCTAATTCATATCTCTCGATTTCTTCTTAATTCTCGAACTATGTTTTTTTACTCAAATTACCACGTAACAGAAAAATTAATAACCTAAACCCTCATTTCTCGAAACAAAAAACCCATCAAAACTCCAACCTCAATTGCAATTTATCTCTGAACAAAGTCTACAAAATCAACAAATTTTTAAAGGATTAATCTTACTCCAAACTCCCTACAAAAATAGATGGTGGGGGTGGGTCGAGTGAGGATGAGCGGATCTGACCAAATGTTGTCGTCGTCGGCGGCGGCGGTGCGGCTGGGTATGTCGGGGAAGAAGATGGTTTGACGGGAAAAAAACTCAATTCATCTTTTTGTTTTTTGTTTTTTCTGTTTTTCAATAATTGCAAAATAAGGAAGTACAATATTGAATACATAACTCTTAAAACATATATCTAACCCCAAAACAATATTAAATTTCATTTTTACCCCTGGAATAGTGTTTTATGTTAGTTTCTAACACCCACGTGACGAAGTGGACGAACAGTGTTTAAAATGGAAACATGGAAGTGAACTTTTTCACTTTGGAACAAGAGGGACCAAAAGTGAAATCGGGCCAAACATGAGGGACCAAAAGTGTAATTATCCCCCTTTTTAGTTTTTATTTATCAAACAAAAAGACTCCAATTATCCACAAATTAATATACCCTACTGCTAAAGATAATACAATACTACACAGAAGAAGAGAAGATAATGTACAAGGCTCACTATTTTTAAGTTTGTTTTGTATCCAAAGATAGAAAACTATATGTATTTTTCTCTCTAAAAAAAACTATATGTATTTAATGTCACACACAAAGAAAATAAAAGGGTCAATCGCCTATTATACTAATATTATTTATTAGGGAGGGTTAAGTAGATAACCAAAAAATGAAGAGATATATATGTAGGTCTGTATGTATGTATGTATGTATGGTAAGTATAAATTGTTACTACTGAGAGCCAAATTTGAGATGTTCCCAGGAGAAGGGGCGGAGGGAAAACATAACATGAGGTGAGCTTTTGAAGAGCAAAGCAGCGCAAACGCATACTGCTGCTATTGCTACCATACTCAACATAGCAGGTCTGTAAATTCTGACTGATGATGATGCGTTGCCGTATCCTTTTCTTATTATTATTTTCTGCTTCTCACATTCCCTGCAGTAGTTGTAGTTGTACTTCTTCTCCGTTTCCATGCATTTTACTTTCTTCTCCTCCAATTTACCAGCAGCAGCCGGAATGTCCACCACAACATATTCTTCCTTTCTTCCTTGTGCTTTTTTCCTCTCAACTAGATCTATGTACGAATAATGTCCACGCAAGCATGCATAGTCGTGTGGTGTCAGTCCCGTACTATCTCTAGCATTCTTCCATGCTTCTATTCCCATCTGAACCAAATCAACAGCTTAAACATCCATTTTATGCATATGCATCATTCATTATATATAAAGAAAGAAAGAAAGAAAAAAAGTAACAGAACAGATGCTATACCGATAGCGGATCTTCAGTTAATGCATCCAATACATCCTCACAACTATCTAGACTGGCTGCCACATGAAGAGGTGTCAATCCACCGGGTCCCACCCTGTCAGGCCTAAACAAATAACCCCCCTCTTCAACTATTAACTTCTCTTTGTGTTCTAATAGAAATTTTACCATTGACCTGCTTTTTTTCTTCCCAACCGCTTGGTGAAGAAGCCCTATATCCATTAATGCAACTTCAATTGAACTGTGCTTCCCCGCATCTACACTACCATCAAACATAATACTTAGAAGCTTCTTCACTACAGCACACCACTCATGCTCCATGGCAAACTCAATAAGCCATCTGAACCGTTTCAAAGGGAATCGATCCACGTCTTTGCTGCTTCCACCTAACCTGAACATCAAACTCTTCCTGTGGAGAAGCCATCCCATTTCATGTACAAACTCCAAAGCTTCACTCGCTCCAACTATCTTCTCTACTGTACAAATTTCAGAGCACACATCCTCCTCTGCAACAATGAACGGAAAGAAGCTGCTGCTGCTCACACCATGCTCTTCTACCTATAATCATATTTTGTCGTGAGTGAATCAACTTATGATGACAATTTCACAAACAGCAAGATCTAATTTGATTAGGCAACAAACCAATGGTAAACAACATCACCTCTATAAATCCCCTTCCAACAGTATTAGGCATGTCACAAGAGAAACTAAGTGACTGATGGATCTCTTCATCCGAATCTGCTTCTCTCCTCAAATCAGCACAATTTTCCTCAACTAGGTACTCCCCGTTTAGTGCACATAGTAACCTGTGAGAACCACAATAAAGTTATAGCCAACTGTCCTCCTAGCTTTAATGCAAAAATAAGTAAAAGAGCAAATTCAAATAACCAACTCCAAAGCCAATTGTGTATCAAAAGCAAGAAATACCTTGAAGTAGACCGAGACAAATTGAAGCCTTTCACTACAAAATGGGCAGGTTTGGATAGAGAAACAGCAACTGGTGTTATGCTTGATATTCTACAACGTTGATGATTTTTCAGAGGTAAGGGTGTGTCTAGAACAACCTGACCTGCAGCGCAGCAAAAACTGTCAGTCAGTTGAGATGTTAAAAACTGGATGAGCAGTTAAAACAAACTATTGAGTGCAAAATTTAGATGTACCATCATATACAAATGTAGCATGATGCCGTACTCGAGTATAGATCCATCCTGTTCTCCAAAATGAATCATTAGATGAATCCAGAAGCCTTTTCAAAGTGCGATTTAAATTGCAGTGCAGCTGCAAGCAACAATGATTATAAGATTTTGCAACCAAATTCAAACTGAAGAGAACTAGCAGCAATAAGTTTGTAATGGTCCACTAATTGTTAAATGAAACTAAGGCTGCACTTGTTTTTTCTTTTTATTTTCCCCCTTCCACGAGTGTTTTCATTCTCCAGGAACAAAAATCTGTTTGGGGTATTCTTCCCTCAAAGCAAATGTCTCCTTCCCAAAAGGCCCTATTCCACTAACATCAACATGATTTACATAATCCAAACAATATATCAAGATCAGTGTATAGATTTCCAATTACTATATTACTATATATATATCATCTTTCATTTAACTAAAAGATACAACATATTCATTAAAAAGCGATAGCCAGAACATCTTCCTCATAGCGGAAGCTTGTAATGGATATAGTGGAAGTCAATTACATATCCTACTTAAGAGCAAAACTTACCTCCTCCCAAGCATTCTTATCCATGCATATATATACCGTCAGTATGATGCAACCAGGCTTGATGTAGCTTTCCATGTCAGTAGGGCGAATGGATAGCCAATCAAGAATCTGAAATAAAATTGGACAAAAATCAAATTTCCAAACTGGAAATGTGTTAAGGCAACAAGGAATTTTTTAATCTGGAAAGCTGGGAAGAGAACCTGTTTTCGCATGACAAGGGGGATATGACTTGGATCTTTCCCAAAAAGTTTGAAATCAATTCGATCTGTACAAATCTGCATATCAAATGCAAATTTCTTACAACAATATAAACAGGGCAGGCTGTCAATACAGATTTGGATAACTGGTATCTCAAAATAAGATTTTTTTTTTTAAGAGGAAGTAAGTTAATGAGTTGCATGAAAAATAAGGTTCAGACCTGTATCTTTCCACTGGTTGAAGATGGTGACTGGCTCGGCGAGGAAACCAAATTCTCACGGTTATGTGCTCTGCTAAACCGTTGAGAATCTCTACATAACCCTAATGGGACAGCAGTAGAAGCATTCCCAACCTTTTCAGGAGCAAGATTATCATGCAGATCCTCCATGCAATCTTGAGAAGCATCATAAACATTATTTAAGTCAAAATTGTTCAGTTTCACCCTCCCTACTGCAGTATCTGAAGCGTTTTCCTTGGTTAAGTTGCTTGATTCTTTCGGAAAAAGTAAAGGATTTTTTTGTGGAGCAGATGCATTGTGCGTAAATCCACCTTGAGCATTATCTGTCAATGTACTCTGCTGTGTAAAAATAGATGAAGGTATGCTCACACCGGGTCCAGCAAGGATAGTAGATTCCTGAAAGAAATACGATCAGAAAAGAACAAAAGAAAACATTATAGATTTAGGCTTTAATGCTTAGGTTATTATCACCTTTACAGCAGTCCCCATTGATGTCCCTTCATTCTGCAGTAGTCCTGCAGGATTGGTTGAACCAGCGAGACTTGCAAGTTCTCTTATGATATTAGATAGCAGATCCCCATCCCTTGCTTGATCTGAGCTACTGGCTGCAAATAATTATAAGTAAATGAAGTGATCCAAAAACAGGCTGACAAAACACAAAAGTGAGACCGTAACTAAGATGAAACCCAATTAATTAAGAATCCGGTATAGTTCGGTAAACCGTACGAAAAACATAACTTTGCAAAGATGAAAATCGCTTACCCTACTAATACATTATGTTACTAATACAGTTCGCTGATTCAGTCAATTTTCTGAACTATCAACATCCCTAAATTCATTTGTCACCCCTCTACTGTCTTATTAGCCTAATTCATTTTTTTGTTAAAAATATTTGGACCAATGGCTTGTGTTTCCCCAACACCAAATGTTTGGACCAGTTGCTTACGTTTCCCCAGAACCTTGCTTTTGTATGCAGTCCTACTAAACATGATTAGTACAATTGCGCTTCCAATGATCCAGATATTCCTTTAGATTAAACATGTAAAATTTCCTATGTGAAAATAAATAGCATACACTTGACTATCAGATTTTTCTGGCTCTTTGTCCAGGTGATGGAACCACTGTACATTTTCACTAATTGTACGAACACAACTAACCAACTAAGATAAGCATGCAATGCAAAAGGCTAAAAATGATATGTTGAGAATCTGAGATTAAGTCATTGTATACTGAATTGCCTTTCACTACGTATGTATTGCAGCTAAGATCAAAGAGCTGGAACGTAAAAATCTTTCATTTACCTTGTATGTTGGAGAGTATGTTGAGCAAAGTGGTTAACGAATAATTACTACCCTGCACATCATTGGTGGAGGTTGGACTAACTGCATCCTCTACATGCGTTCTACGCCGCCTTTTATTATGATCTGCTAGACGCCTGCGACAACTCCTCTTCCCTTCATCAAACTCCACAAGGACATGGAACCTGTACAAGAACATATAAATTATATCCATCTTGAGAAATTAAAGTATTCTACTAATTTGTTTATCAGTTTTTACTCAAGAATTGCCAACTAGCAGCTAATTTCCGAGGTGCATGGTCCAAAGTAGTGGGCATGGAAGGTAAAAGAAACATGTGTGATGATGCATAAAGACAACCAGGGTAACAAATGCATATCCTACAACTAGTCTCATTGAAAGGGGGGATCAAGGGTAAACCTAACAATCTTGGAAAAGAACATGTAAATAAAATAAAAATCAACCTGCTACATTGTTGACAAAACCTCTGCACAGCGTTCCCGACTAAAGCACTGGTAGACTTAGAATGCACATCACAAACTTTATGGCGGCGGTGATATTCGCTCACATTACTCAAATCAACTTTACAATCCTCAACTAGACAAACAGCATTGCTGGGTGATGGTGTGCCAGAAACCTTGGTCTTCTTCCTGGTCCTCTCTTCCACTTTATCAACCATGAGAGGAAAAACTTGTTCACCAAGATTCAGATTAATTGATCCACCAGCCTCTTCATTAACATGTACATTTACATCAGCACACTTTCTATGTTCATCCAATTCCCTCTCGTCTCCCAACAACACTTCATCTGAACCTGATGAGATTATACCATTTGAATCCCCATTTTTCACAGCCTTGAACAAATGACCATCCCATGTCCAATCTTTTCTATCCCATCCTGCACTCGCCTTCGAATCCGACTCCACCTGACCGTTTGGATTATCCCTCTTTCCACCCAATTTCTTCTCCATTCTAACCCCAAATTCAACAATAAAAGAATGAAAAATCCATAAAAACTTTACTCATCTACCAGAAAAATTTAAAATCGGATTACAGCAAAAATCGAAGAATCCCTCCATATAGCAATTTTGTAGAAAGGACTGATTGGACTGAAACGGACTACGAGTGACTGACAGTTTAAGGTGGACTTGTGAGGTCAGACCGAAGGATCGCCGGCGATTTAGTGGAGATAATTTTGGGCAATTAAAATTTATAAATTGTTGATGAGCATTAATTTGGGGAAAATTTTTGTGTTTTCAATAATTAATATATTATATCAGGCTCAAACTTGATTAAATTATTTTATTTTGGACCTTTTAGTTTAAACTGGGCTCAAATTTGATTTACCATACTAATATATTTTAATTGTTGAAAAAATACTAATTACTTATACATATATATGATATGACTGAATTAATTTTCTTTGTGAAATTAAATGCTAAACAAATATTTAAAATAAAAAAGAAGTCATAGGAATTACGACAAGACTAACTAAAATTTAAAATTTCCTTGTGAAAAATGCTATATGAACATTTAAAGAAATTTTAATCCTTTGCAAATAAAAATAAAAAACTAATTCAAATCAGTAAAAATACAAGTACGTGAATGAGTCCAAATTCAAGTTTTGTTTCATTAACAAGTGGATCATCAAGTATTTAGAAACCAGAAAACCTATTTCGCGAAGTTGGACGGCCCGGCCCACAACGTTTCTAAATGGGCCTTTGTATCATACTACTGAAATTCATTTAATATATTTGTTTATTTATTTTAAATAGATAGGCGAAATGAATGATTGGGATTTGGGATTGGGACAGAGAGGATTAATTAAATTCCATAAGCCAGCAAGTTCCAGGCTTCAATCAACTTGTTATTTTAAGCTTCCATCTAAATTATTATTACAGTATTATTATTACAGTATTATTATTATTATTATTATTAATAATAATAATAATAATAATAATAAAAATAAAAGTAGTATGGCCCAAACTCAATCCATAAAACTTTGTTTAACATCAATAATAGAAAACGGAATTTCTATTTATTTTATACTCCTTAATAAATTTTGATTTTCTTTAATACAATAAAAAAAGATATAATGAGACCGAGTCCGACAAATGAACTATATATGTTATAGAAACCATGAGAATTAATTAATTGATGTATATAAAATTAATTGCAAAAATATTGGTTGTAAATTGTAGTAAAGGAATAGGTGTAACTAACACCCATGTGAAAATAAAGTAAATTAATCCTCGAGTTGTGAGTATATTCATACAAAACATATATAGCCCACCAATTTTTGTAGTCTATTCAAATATGAACAAAGTCCACATGGAGTATTTATTTGGCCATAAAATATTAATATTAATAGACCAAGCATTCTGTAATTCAATATTTATTTACAACACAATATTTTAAATATTTATATTTAATAATAATATTAATAGTGTTATTGTAGTCGGAAGCAAGGAAGGATTCGTTTCTTTGTTGTACAGCTGCAGAATAGTCAAAAGACAGAGACAGCTCAAATTGAAAACTAGTAGTATTAATAGTACTAATCTAATTACGCGTTTTGCTGCTCTCTTCTTAATATTATTATTATCAAGTCTAATAAGTCTTCTCTTCTCTTTTTTAGTTGCAACGCAACCAGTCGTCAAAATAAATAAATAAATATAGAAGATAATCTCATCACTTTCTGGTTTGTTTTCCAACCATCTTCAACAACAGTTACTACAATTGGAGGAGGCGTTTCTCAGATTTAGGTCTGACTTTTTTTTATTCATCAATTCTTTTCGATCTTCTTCTGGGTCATTTTTATGTCCTCTCATCCCAAGGTAATTGTTATTAATTGAACTCTTTTCTTTTCACCCTGCCCTTTCTCCTCCTCCTCAATTCTCTCATCTACTTTGCTCTTGTCCTCTACTATGTGAGATTTATATTTTGTATTTTGTGCCCAAATACAATATGATTTTGACCTGGAATTTGTGAAATTAATAACATTTTTTTTTATTGTAATCCAATTGCTGTGTGTGTTAACTTGGCTTGATTTCTTCATCAGCTTGATTTCTTCATTTTTCATAACTCAGTAATAAGCTGAATTAGTAGAATCATGATAAATACATTTCCTGTTAGTTATGTCTTCAATACATTGTTGGACTTATTTTAACAAGTTATAATGTAAACTGAAACTTGTGTTCTTGATCAAATTCCTTTCAGGGTCTTGGACATTTCTTATTGTGTTTTTCTATTTTCTGTACATTGAGTTGTCCACTGCAGATAACTAATATCTCGTTATGATTGTCTTGTGACAGCTTTTCCACTTCACACATTCCTAAGATACCATATCATGAGTTGCTTTGGTTGTTGTGAGGATGATGACATGCACAAGGCTGCTGGTAATGGACCATACATGACAACCAACTATGCAGGTGAGGTTTCTCTCAGATTTATAACTATTTACTTCATCATCAGTTGATTGGATACGAAATATCTTTTTCTTTCTTTGTATATTCTTGCAAATATATGAGTTAGATTTTCCCATGATCAGTTGATTTATTGCTTTAGAACACTAACTTTTCAACATTGATGAGGTAGAGAAGAAAATAAAGTTAGTCTTCCATATTTGCTACGGCGAGTACTCAGTGATAGCCCGTGCTTATTCTTTAAATTTGGTTTTTAAGTGGTTAATTACGATTGTGTTTCCATTTATGAGCCCCTATGCTTCTTCTATGACTCTGTTTCTTGCTTAAACACTATGGATAGTTGAACTTAGCAGAGATATTTCTCTAGGCAACCCTGCAGGCAATTATGCAGCAGAAACAGCACAAAAGGAGAAACAGGCTGTTGCAATGCAGCCAATTGCTGTACCTGCAATTTCAGTAGACGAGTTGAAGGACATTACAGATAATTTTGGTTCAAAGTGTTTGATTGGTGAGGGATCCTATGGAAGAGTGTACCATGGCGTCCTCAAAACCGGACAGGCTGCTGCAATTAAAAAGTTGGATTCTAGCAAGCAACCACACCAAGAATTTTTAGCACAGGTTTGGGTCATAACAGTTGATTTAGCTCCATTTAACAGTTGATATATATATATATATATATATATATATATATATATATATATATATATATATATATATATATATATATATATATCTGTGTTATAAGTTTCCATCAATATATATATGTATTTGCAGGTCTCTATGGTATCAAGACTGAAACATGAAAATGTGGTTGAGCTACTCGGTTATTGTGTAGATGGTGGTCTTCGGGTCCTGGCTTATGAGTATGCTCCAAACGGGTCCCTACATGACATTCTTCATGGTTAGTGTTAGTTACTCTTAATTACTGTGAAAACCATCCCGCTTTCTAGCCTCCAGTACACTATACACACTACATCTTTTGACATAATTGTATGCTTGTGTGGCTGCATGTAAACAGTCTGTGTTGTGGAGATTTAAGATGATGTATATTTATTGGATTTTTCTTATCTTCCATCCATCATTCTGGTTTCTTGTTGATTGTCTCGATTCAAATATTCCCTTTTAAACTCAAAAACTAATTTGAGGTGTTCATATAGGCAGAAAAGGTGTGAAAGGTGCACAACCTGGTCCAGTTCTATCGTGGGCCCAGAGAGTAAAAATAGCTGTTGGGGCTGCAAAGGGACTGGAGTACTTGCACGAGAAGTCACAGCCTCATATTATTCACCGTGACATAAAGTCGAGCAATGTTTTACTTTTTGATGATGATGTTGCTATGATTGCCGATTTTGATTTGTCAAATCAAGCCCCTGACATGGCAGCTCGTCTTCATTCCACTCGTGTTCTTGGAACTTTCGGTTATCATGCCCCAGAGTACGTGCAGTTTTTAGAGATGAATAAATGCAACTTTTGATATATATATATATATATATTGGTAATTGGATTGAATAATGTGTCTGATGAATTGTTTGGTTCTGGTGGGGGTAGATATGCAATGACTGGGCAACTAAGTTCAAAGAGCGATGTATACAGCTTTGGTGTGGTACTCTTAGAACTATTGACGGGCCGTAAACCAGTTGATCATACACTGCCTAGGGGACAGCAGAGTCTTGTAACATGGGTATTATGCCATTTTCCTATTACATTATTTCATCCATCAAGCAAGGGCATATATATATATATATATATATATATATATATATATATATATATATATATATATATATATATATATATATATATATATATATATATATATATATATATATATATATATATATATATATATATATATATTGTAATTTGCACATGACTGATTGATTAATGGGCAAAATTGAATCAGGCAACACCAAAGTTAAGCGAAGACAAGGTAAAGCAGTGCGTGGATGGTAGACTGAATGGAGAATACCCTCCTAAGGCTGTTGCAAAGGTAATTACTGAGTGTGCTTGTGCGGTTCAAAACATTTAATAAACTGAATTTGTGTTCGGACAACTAATGGATTATTGATTGGTAAAAACAGATGGCTGCAGTTGCTGCGTTGTGTGTGCAATATGAAGCTGATTTTAGGCCAAACATGAGCATTGTAGTAAAAGCTCTCCAGCCTCTCTTGAATACTCGATCTGGACCTCCTACTACTGAAACACCAAACTATTGAAACAATAAACTTGTTATCAGTGCTACAAGACGAAAGTGGCTGTTATTTATTACTATTATTATTATTATTATTATTGTTTATCTTTTGATGGTATTGAGAGTTTTGAATGCCTACCAAATCTTGAGCTGTTGATAAGTTTATCAAGACCTGTTTCAAGTGTAGGGGAACAAAGTAAAAAGAACTATTGAATGTAGATTACAAATAGCATTCTTTTGTGGACCTGGTTGTTTTGTTGATTCTTGTAAAAGTACTTTGAATTGATTGTGAGGAATATTGGATGAAACATTGTACATTACTAGTTGTATATTTGTTACAATGTTATTACTGTATAATCAGTGTCTTGTACGAGGCTGTCTTGGTATGAATGGATATTCATGAGAGTCGAGCATTCGGACAACTTGGTTCATAGTAGGTCTCTGTTGAGAGTTTGGGTCGACGCACCTTAGTGCTGTCAAAAGAGCTCTTTTAAGGGAAGATGTGGATGGCCTCATCTCCATATTTGCGTCCAACAATTGGTCACACCGTTTTGCTGCAACCATCATCTTTACCCACTCAACCAGATTTCCAGTATTGTCATCAACTGGACCCCGGGCGGTTATAGCTTCCAAAAGGACAACACCGAAGCTATAAACGTCAGTCTTCTCATTGAGGATGCCACTGCTTGCATATTCTGGAGCTACATATCCAAATGTTCCCATTACTCTTGTTATAATATGACTCTCTCCAGCACCCATCAATTTCGCTAGTCCAAAATCAGAAATCTTTGCATTGAAATCTCTGTCAACTAGTATGTTGCTTGTCTTTATATCTCTATGCACGACTTTTGGCTCTATTGCATCGTGCAGATATGCAAGCCTACACATGACAACCGCCACTAATTTCATTCTACAGTAAGATCAAACATATATACAGTTGATAAAATCAGATACTCACGCCTTGGCAGTTCCAAGCAGAATCTTCATACGGCCCTCCCATGTTAGGAACATTTGAATTTGATCTCCTCCATGGAGCCATTGCTCCAGATTTCCATTGTTTACATACTCATACACCAACACCCTGAATTTCATCTTATCCATCATCATCATCATCATCATCATCAAGTCCACCTACTGAACGGCCTTATATATATACATATATATCTACATGAGGAATCAATGAATGTGTTTTACATGCTCGTTACCTGTGGGTGCCTTCAATACAATAGCCCAGAAGTCGAACCAAGTTTTTATGCCGCACATGACCAATAGCCTCTACTTCCACTCTAAATTCCTTGCCTGCCTGTCCTCTGCATTACATAAATAAAAACAGAGTTACAATAACAAAAAATAACTCAATTTAATTATCATCGTCATAGTTAGCTTACAAGTTATTTAGGAGCCTTTTAACAGCCACAGTTGTACCATTTACGAGTTGGCCACGATAAACAATTCCATAGCCGCCCTCTCCAATAACATTATCCTTTGAGAAGTTGTTGGTTGCAGTTTGAAGATCCCTCAGAGTAAACCAATGTCCCCAATCAAGCTGTGACAGCTCAGTAAGACCTGGTAGAGGTGAAGCTGCTGAACTCAGATAGGGCTTATTGTTATTAAATGCCGCCGATGAACCACCCTTTTTTTCGAGACAAGCTGCTGATTGAATATCCTTGGAATCTACCAAAACTAATTCATCCCAATCTTTCTTTCCCTGCAAGTGCAACTCCACATCATTGTCAACAATTGATGAATTGTGGTCTACTACTCTTATTTCTCTCGAATAAACATCACGAATCTGGGTAATGCGATCCACCCTTTTCCTGGATTTGATCTTGAGTGCAACAGAACACCATAGCAGCCAAAGAACAACAAGTATCAAAATTCCAAGAATGATTGCCACCAAAACCCACACCTTGAGATGAAGCACGTGACTTTTCATACCCATTATAATTGGTCAATGCCTAAAATACTCGATCGTCAGATAATTCTTGTGCGTGGTAATAAGGAATGAAAAAGCAACCCTCTATTTAATACACGACAAAGTTTAGCTGTGGGAAACAGAAAAGTAGTTATCAGCTGGTGCTAAACTAAGCCTCCACGGAATTCCAACTCGTCTTGCAAAAATCATATACAGTGCTGCTGCCACAGCTAATTTATCGATCATATATCAGTGGTAGGTAGGTGATGCCTTTCTTCCAATTACATACACCTCTGCTCTTGCTCAATACAATACAATACAAACTACAAAGTTTGCCGTTGCTTTGGTCTTGTACAATCAATCTATCACGAAATAAGTTCCTCAATTTGACTGTGACTGTTTATCTACTTGTCACATAATCATCATATTCATATTTGTTATTTAGAAACAACATAATGTAATTAGTCAAAGAATAAATAAATGAAGAGAATCACAAATTCAAGTACTGTGGATGATGGCCAATGCATAATTAATTAAATGCAATTTAGTGAAAGGTCAAATATAAATTACTATAATATAATGAACAGACTTGACAACAAACAAACTTCCCCATTTGAGATTGACAACTAGGTACTTAATTAATTATTACTTGGAGCTATCATAGATTTCGTTCATCCCCATCTATTCTATTAATAACAAACAACTATTAATGTATTATCTTCCATAAATAATTTTAAATTTATATTTATATATAGATCATATAAATGGATATGGATGCAACTGAGTCTATTTGAGTTAGCTAGTGTGAGACAAGACAAATAATAGCTAACAAGAATTCTAGTTTCTGTTTGGTACAATTTTCTGTTCATCGCCATACCAATCTATCTATATATATCATTTTCATCTTCATCCAACAAAGCACAAAATATACAACAAATTACGAATACTAATACACTAGTTATTTATTTATTAATATACATGTCCCATGGACTGAGGCCGGCCTAAAAACCGACCCATCTGACAAATCAATTTTGCTATAATAATATATGTTATGATGGTGCATGTCCATTTCTATGTCTACAAGTTGTTGATTAGCTGGGTTTATTTTGGATATTTCTACGTTAGACATAAATTGTGGATGGCAATATTTTTTCAATACATATACATACATTAGATAATTTTTTTGGACCCAACATATGAATCATGAAACTGGGTAATCCTTATCAAATTCGATCGATTTATGTTGATAATAATGAACAAAAAATTGAATAAATCTTCAGTCTTCTTTCTAAGTAAGTTTAAGTGGGTCCCGAAATGCCAACAGAAGAATAATTAATTAGTTTTGGTACTTACTGTTAATTAATTACTCACTGGCACTGCACTGCACTGCATATCAACAACATCTCCAATTTTCTCAAATCTAACCCCTTCCCCCTTCCCCCTTCTCCCTTCTTGGTTAAACTGTTTATTATATGGATTGGATGCACGATTGATTAATTTCGGGCTGTGTGTTTCTGTTCCAGTTCCATCTACTTTGAATTCCTATCGGTACAAACTCAAAACCCAGTTGGAATAATAAATAATTTGTGCTTTTTACCTAGATTTCCATTTTTGCCATTTTTCAGAGCTTGTCTGTCCAGCAGCATTGCCTGGTCTATCAATATATGTGACTATGTTTTCTTCTTTGCTTTTTAATGTTATGCTTCACTCACTGACTCACTGTTATTCACATACTTCCAATCATGCACTTTGCAGCGAAGCTGTGACTTTACATGTATAGAAGAAGCAGATTCAAATTGTTCCAGATCTTTATTTAGGTCTCAACATTTTCAGCCATAATCAGCGAGAGCACTCCTCACGATTTGTCTCTGAAGATGATAAATACATCCTTGTTTCTTACATATCTTTACCTTCTAATCTACATCATACTTTCATCTGGTGTTATTTTATACAACAAGGTAATCCACTTTTTCCGTTTTTATGTTTCGTATGTATCCATTTAATATATACTTGCAATGTGTTGTTTCCTTACTGATTTTATCATTTTTGCCTAAAACTGATTTTTATTTATTATTTTGTATTTGTTTGCAGTGGGTTCTTTCTCCGAAATACTTCAATTTTCCGTTTCCTATAACACTTACAATGATACATATGGGATTTTCCGGTGCAGTAGCATTTTTCCTTATTCGTGTTTTCAAGGTAAAGATTCTGGTGAAAGAACAAGCATTTGAGCCACATAGTCTTAACTTTTATTGTCTTAGCCTTGTTTATGTTGGTTAATTAATCAATTGTTGTGATATCTGTTAGGGTTCCTATGAAAGGGAAGCAATAAATGAAATTTTGTGTGATAAAGATCGTACACGCTAATTTTATTTGTGCAACTTTTTCAACCGACCATCATAAACTTAGACAAGTCATGGCCTATGTTAGTATATGTTCTTTGAAACTGATTGTTGTGGATAGTGGTGGAAACTTTCCAGCAGCGAGAATATGTGCAACTCTCTTCAGAATATCTGTTTTTAGATTTAAATTTACAGTGGCTCTACTAAAGCTGATGATAAAGTTTTATGCAGGTTGTTTCTCCAGTTAAAATGACATTCGGCATGTAAGAGACTTGTTTCAGTTTAAACTTACCGGGTTTCTTTCTTCTGTATTCATCCTATTCCTATTACAATCATTTTCTTCTTGGTTTCATTTATATATGTATATATATGTTATTGCAGATATACCACTTGTGTGATCCCTATAAGTGCCTTCTTTGCATCTAGTCTTTGGTAAGATCTCAACTGTGACATTGATATTCTTGTAAACTAAATTGACCCATAGTATATTACAACTGGAGAAAATGTACATGAATAATTATTAGAGTGTAATGAAGAGAATTCAGAGATGCCTATTCCTGTGCCTTGCATCGCCTAACATTAAGAATAAAGAAAAAGCAGAAAAATATTGTGCATTAATTGTTATTAGTGCTAATAGTCTTACTAATAGGGCTTGGTATCCATACGGGGATAACAAACTGACATGGAAAGAAAATAAGATGCGTTCTCCCTGCATTTTGGGTTTCCATGTGACATAGCACAACAACATTCTTGCCAACATTTTGTTGGGAAAAATGTATTGGGAGAAACGTAGCAGTCAAATTATATCAAAAGGTGTTGGAAGAAATGTATTTTGAAAGAAGAATGTGAAAAATAAATTTATATTTGTTTATACATTAGTGAAAACATTTTGTTAGCGTACTGGTTTCTTACACCAGGTGTTGCTCTAGGTTTATTCATCTTTCAAGATTGCTGAAATTCCTACTCTTAGATATGATGTATTCTATTGTCATAAATGATCTCAAATGCACTGTTCCTCAAATTTATAGCAATAATGAGAGTTTATTTCGTCACAGGTTTGGTAACACCGCATACTTGCACATATCTGTGGCTTTCATTCAGATGCTTAAAGCCCTGAGTATGTGACACTACTAGCATCAATTGTATAATGTTAGAACAATGTCCTGCAAACCTAATTCAGCACCACCTAACCTTTTTTGTTTTTTTTTCTTTTTAATTTCAAAATGAATTATTTGCAGTGCCAGTAGCAACATTTTTTGTGGCTGTTCTGTGTGGTACGGATAAACTAAGATGGGACGTGTTTTTGAACATGGTGCTGGTCAGCATTGGAGTTGTTGTTTCGTCATATGGGGAAATTAATTTCAATGTGATTGGCACAGTTTACCAAGTTACTGGTATATTTGCAGAAGCTCTGAGACTGGTATTAACTCAAGTCCTTATACAAAAGAAGGGGTTAACATTAAATCCCATCACAAGTTTATACTACATTGCTCCGTGCAGGTACGATAAAATATAATCTCTTTATTTTGCATTTCTGTCTAGAGGAAGATGCAATTCTGCCCAAAAACTCATAAAGTTTTTTTTTAAACTGAAGGGGTTTGTTTCTTGTTGTATATATGCAGTTTGGTATTTTTAATGGTCCCTTGGTATTTTCTGGAGAAGCCTGCTGAATTGGAAGTGTCTGAAATTCGGTTAAATATGTGGATATTCTTTTCAAATGCATTTTGTGCACTGTTGTTAAACTTGTCGATTTTCTTGGTAATCGGTAGAACAGGGGCAGTGACTGTTAGAGTAGCTGGAGTTCTGAAAGATTGGATACTGATAGCCCTTTCAACAGTGATATTTCCAGAATCTATGATAACAGGCCTAAACATTATAGGCTATGCGATTGGTAATGATCATATTTGTTTTATGACGTTTAAATTGGAGACAACAAGTTAACCTGAACAAGTGTTAACAAAATGGTGCAGCACTTAGCGGGGTAGTATTGTACAACTATTTGAAGGTGAAAGAAGTTGGTGCACCGCAGAGTCCTGAAAGTATTCCTGAGAGGATTAGTAAGGTAGAAAGCTGTGTAGTAGATGTGTATATATGGAGTTTTGGTATTAGAAAATACATTTACTGACTAATCCCAATATCAATTGACAGGAGTGGAAGTTAGAAAAGAAGTCATCTGATGTGTACAGACCCGATGATGATAGCAGCAGTGGTAGTGATGATGAAGAGGCAGCTTTGTCGTCCAGGTTGTCTCATATTGGTCGCACACAGCTCCCACCACCAAACTAGTACTACTCCTGCCAATGCATAAACACATACATACATACATACACCTTTGTAGGCAAATGAAACCATGTATATGTAAATGCCGCTACAATGTACAGTAGAACAAATGGAACCAACAATATTCTCTTGTGCCGTGTGTTTGCTCGTATTCCTTGTTATTTTTCTTCTACCTTCACATGCTACAACACTCTGATACTACTCACCGGACATACCATCTCAGATTTTGTCTATTCTTTTGTAATTGTAACGGTATTAACTGTTGCCAGCTCAGCTGCTCAATCAAGAGATCAAACGGTGGTTGTTCCTTTTGTCAGCGTTTCTTTTTGTTTTATTATTAGTTCCGATAGCCAATGAGCTGCAGCCATGTGCTAAAATAGTTGCGTAAGTGAATTCTGCTGTAAGCAAGTTCAGAGGTGTAAATCACTTTTCACATTTTCAATGCAACTTCCTTTTTTCTTCGATCGAGCTTTCGACCGTAAAAGTAATTTTCAATGTTGAATAAACTGTAATAATATAATTAACCTAAGACATAAAACATAAATTGGCTTGATTCCATTTTGTGCGAAAAAATAAATAATTTGTTTGTGGGGTGATAATTCAATTGGGCCTTATAATCATTTTCCAGCATAGTTTAATAATGAAATTGGGCCCATCAACCAAGTCCGTTTTGCTCTTTAGACGGTTGCCGCAGTCAGTCGTGGGACATAACAGATTTCCATTATTCTAATCAAGTCAAAGATCCATTGACCCAACAACCAACGGGCCGATGCAGAGACCGATTTCGGGCGGGTCGACCCAAGTCTTCACCAATCATCATCACTACATATCCACCATACCCTTTCTTCTCTCTCTCTCTCTCTCTCTCAAACATACATACATACATACATACCCATTGATGACCCATCTCGTTCGAATAAAGCATACATATATGACACACACACTCGCACTCACAGATTCCAGTTTGATTTTACCCTCGTGAACGCCGCCCCCCACCTCCTGCATCTTTTCTTCGACGATTGGCTTCAATTTTCAAAGCATGGCCGCCAATAAAATAGCGAAAGGGGTAATGGAGGAAGTGCAGAAATGGGGTGCCATGAAACAAACTGGTGTCAGCCTCCTCTACATGATGGAATTCGGGTCCCGACCCACACCCAGGAACCTTCTCATTTCTGCTCAGTTCCTCCATAAGGAGCTCCCTGTTCGGATCGCCCGCCGTGCTATTGAGCTCGATTCGCTTCCCTATGGCCTCTCCAATAAACCCGCCGTTTTGAAGGTCTCCTCCTCCCCAATTATTCTTACATTTTAATGCCTGATTAGGAATCTCTAATTAAACTATTCCTATGGTGGTGGATGGGGGCATATATATGCTTTTGTTATTTATTCTAAGCATGCTTTCCCCCTCTCCCTTATTTATGTTTTCAGAAAAGTATAGACTGCCAGTACCATACCATGTGAGTATCTGACTATTTAAATGTTTTTTTTAATTTTTTAATAGCAATTGTTTAATATGGATTTCGTTTCAGTTAGTTATATAGTTAGATCATGGATGAGAAGATTCTCTTCTGCCTGTGGGTCTTTTCATTACTATATTATTATTATGCTCTGATTGCCATTTATTCTTCATCTCCATGCTCAGTTTGCACGCATATCTCTTCTTACTAAGATTTGCTCTTCATGATTCCTGTTTAAGCACTTGTCTAATAAGGCTTTTGGTTTCATACTTTGTACACTAAGCTAATGGTATCTACAGTGTCATGATACCTGTGGCTAATTGTAATCCAATGTTTGTTTATCATTGCTTTGTTCATGATCTGTAATAAGAGATTAAAAACTTGGTCAATGTTTGTCTATGCCATCATTCATACCCATTTAATAATTAAATGGCAAAATGCTCTGAATAATTAATGCTTGCTACTTTTTCAATTTCCATTTTTTATTAGGTAAGAGATTGGTACTTGGATTCTTTCCGTGACCTTAGATCATTTCCAGATATTAAGGATAAAAATGACGAGTTTGAGTTTACGCAAATGATTAAGATGATTAAAGTCAGGCACAACAATGTGGTCCCTACAATGGCTTTGGGAGTGCAGCAGTTGAAGAAAGATCTCAATCCTAAAATGGATTACAACGACTTGGATGAAATCCATCAGTTTCTAGATCGATTTTATATGTCTAGAATTGGGATCCGCATGCTCATTGGTTAGTCCCTTCCCCTGCTCGTGTCGTGTCCTGTTTAATCTCACAATTCTGGCAACGACTTCTGTTATCAGCAGAAAGATATGATGCTAAACTGTTTTCTTATTTTAATCCAAAACTATGGCGAACTCAGGGCAGCACGTGGCCTTGCACGATCCAAATCCACCTCCAGATTGTGTAGGCTACATACATACAAAAATGTCTCCAGTAGAGGTTGCAAGAAGTGCTAGTGAGGATGCCCGTTCCATTTGCTTGCGAGAATATGGTAGTTCACCAGACATTAATATCTATGGAGACCCTAATTTCACATTCCCGTAAGTTACTCAATCTATTGATTTTTGCCATGTTAGTTCTTGTTTTTGACTCCCTTACATTCCATTTACATATTTAGGTGTGCCTTCTATTTACTGTTTCCTTATATGCTTTTACCGCAGGTATGTGCCTACGCACTTGCATTTGATGGTCTTTGAGTTGGTGAAGAATTCGCTGCGTGCTGTTCAAGAGCGGTTTATGGATTCGGACAAGGTTGCGCCTCCTATCCGCATAATAGTTGCTGATGGACTGGAGGATGTCACCATCAAGGCAGGGATTAAGAATTCACTATTCTCCATGCATTTTTTTTTGTTTAATTTTTTTTTTTGAATTGTCCAACTATGTATGCTAATTGGTTGCATATGTGTTCTCCAGGTCTCTGATGAAGGAGGTGGAATACCGAGAAGCGGTCTCCCCAAAATTTTTACATATCTCTACAGTACTGCAAAGAACCCTTTAGATGAGCAACCTGAAATTGATCTTGAGACAGCAACAACTATGGCAGGTTATGGATATGGTCTTCCCATTAGCCGTTTGTATGCCAAGTACTTTGGCGGAGATCTCCAGATTATTTCCATGGAAGGATATGGTATGTTGTTTTTATTGTTTGTTAGTGATATGAATTTGCTAGGTCATACTTAATAAATGTGGTTTTGATAATGAAAGTATTATTATCCACCACAATGGCCATTTTCTTCTACACCGCTCTAATTCGTTTGTAATGAATTTGCTGCTGAACATTTGAGTCATAAAGTTTTAGCATTTAGTCTAAAGAGCATTTGCTAACATACATAATATTAAAGTAGGTGCTGATTTTACTCCACACTGATGCTAGTAGAGCACTGTTTGGAAAAGATACAACTTCAAAAGCATCAAAATGCATATTTGTTTGTTCGTCCTCCTTCAATGGAAAAACAATCAAATGTGATTGTGGTTGCATTTGATCTTTCTTCTTTAGAAGTTTGATTTTTTTTTTCCTTACAGGGACGGATGCTTACCTTCATTTGTCCCGGTTGGGAGATTCTGAGGAACCTCTGCCTTGAGTGCTGATCTGGCTAACTAGTGTGAATACATGAATCTCTACAATTGGTCGACAACGGAAGAAGTTGATCATGATTGTGGGCGTGTCACTGTTAAACATCATTAATCATTTTGTGAAAATTGTTGTTGTTAGTTGTTATGCATATTGTTATAAGGGGCAAAGAAGTAAACCTCTTCAAGAAGTACCTCGGGTGCATTTATCAAACTATTTTTTTTTTCTTCTGTATATGTTGAACTTGGATTTGATTATACAAATGGCTATATATTTTCATGGGACAGATTAAATGCAATGATATGATCATTATCCAATAGCACTGTGAACTGGACACAAAGGAATGCTTTTCCTTGCAGTGAATACAAGTTTTTAAGATACTTAGTTTTGTGTATTGGCAAAATTCAACCTTTGTGGGTTGAATATTGGATGGACATTAAACCTCGTTTTATAACTAATGGAAATATACTTGGTATACAGAAGCTATATAACATCAATACTTGGATAAAATGGTTGTTGAGAAAACCAAGTCCTTTTTACATCACAGATACAATGTAAAGAAGAAGTCTAAAAGAGAATATTGAAAGATAACTAATTCACTTTTTCAAAATCTGGTTATATCAACGCCTTGTTTTCTTTCCTGACATTTTATGCTTCTTTGACTTGTTCCTCTTCCACTTGTCCACCCCAGCCGGCCGGTTTACTTGTTCAATCTCTCTAACCTTGCGTTTCCTAAATAAAATTGGAATATAACAAATTTTACAAGTGAAAATGTAGTTGCAGCGTAATTTCTCTTTACTCTATCAAAAGTTAACATAAATAATATTATTCAAGTATCTAGCAAGAACTCTGCATACCTATATTCACGAAGATGACCATCAGAAAGCAGCTCATCAGCAAGGGTTGCTTTTCTCTCCTTCTTAGTAAGTCTACCAGTGAAGAATTCAGATGCCGACTCTATAACAGTACCCACCTAATAATGTATTATGAAATGACTTAATCGTTTACCCCCCAAGCAACATGAAAATAGACAATGATATCACGGTATACACACTTACCTGGAAGTATTTGGGAAGAGTTTTTGATCTAGAATCACCCTTCTTATAGTGCCTTTTTGGATCTATCACGGTCCTCAACTGTAACAAATAACCATCTTCCACTTTTAATCAACAAATATCATTATAAGTAAATTGCAATAGAACAAACAAACAAACAAACAAACAAACAAACAAACACCCCTTTCTTCTCATGGAACAACCATATATATCAATGTATTAAGGCACTATACAATTAGGTCCCTTTTGGTTTTGGATGCACTTTAGACATGCACAATGAGTTAAATACGGGCTGATAATTAACTATCAACTGAAATCTGGATACAGACTCATGCTCCTAATCAACATTTAGACTGGATCATAAAATCCAAAAGCTTGATACAACCAAATTGTTCAAAAGAAATTTGAAAAAATATTATTTTGGTGCATTGTTGAATAAAATATAACTATCTATATGAGAAGATCCAACCGATTCTGCCAACGTAATGTCTTACTTGAAGGAAAACACGGTAATTAATATGGATATACATGTGAATTGGTTGAAGTTCACGATCCACTCTGATTATGCAATCTGTACATGGATTAACATTTTAGGGAATGTGGCCAATGGCTCAATCAAAGACACAACGATATGAAGCAAAATCATTTTTTCCAAATTATATTTGTATTATTGTACCAAAAGCAAAAATTGTGGAAACATCACATAATTAACAGCACCTTCAGTAGCTGGAGATCTTTTTTCAACTCCGGAGTGATAGTTGGTGCAGGCATATCAAACCTATCACAAATACAAAACCAACTGGCGTATTTAAAAATCAAAACTTTCTGGCCAAATACAATAAAGGAATCAAGAAAATAAGCAATTATACCAATTTTTTCCAGCAGTATCCTTCACTTGTTTCTTCAACAATTTGTTAAGCATTTTGGGGTCTTTAGGAGGAAGAAAAAGTCCGTCGACCAGCTGAGAATTGCACTTGTAAAGGGAAACGGCTTCAGCTTCAGCTTCATTGGAGGATTTTTCATTTTTGGCGGAAGAAAATAAATCAAGTTTAGGTTGCCACGAAAGCCCTATCACTGCCTTGTTTCCAGACATTCTGAAATTAAATTCGAGATGTTTTGTGCTAAAATATGAGAAACTTAGATTTGTCTTCCTAAACCGGCGCGGCGGCGGACGGTGGTGAACTGTCGGAGAGGGAAGAGAGGTTTTAGAGCAAAAAGTGGTCTAGGGCTGTGTTTTTTGGAATTATCGATAAGTTTTATTGTAAACAAACTTAATGGGCCGGATCTGCATAAATTAAATTAGCCTATTAACAATGTAATTTTTATTGTAAACAAACTTAATGGGCCGGATTTGCAGAAATTAAATTAGCCTATTAACAATGGGCCTACATGTTCCGCAGTTATTTATCACTCTTTTTCAGTTAATTAACATCTATTAAATTTGTTTTGTTGCAACCGGTTTCATCGAATGTCATTTTTTTTTTGGTCAATAAATGAAATAATAAAAATATACTGTTGAAAAACTAATAAAGAATATAGAAGAAGAAGAAGAGAATAAAATAGAGAGAATATGTAATATGTTATTTCATCTCTTCAAGTGTTAAAATACACTACATAGTGCTCTATATATATAGCACTAGAAGACCTCTCAAAGGTCATGAGTTACAAGGCCATAATGAGATCATCAATAGGTATTATGGTGTGATAATGGTGCTTGATGGTGGTGAATAATGGTGGTCATCCACACCTTCTAGAATTCATAACACTCCCCCTTGGATGTCCACCATATATGAAGTATGCCTCGTTAAAAACCTTGTTAGGAAAACCCAATGGGACAAAACCTAAACGAAGGATAAAATAATACATATTCATTTAAATCTTAAGAGCGTAACACTGCCTCGTTAAAACCTTGCCAAGAAAAAACCCTATGGGACGAAAACTTGGACGAAGGAAAAAGAGTACATTGTTGCCATTGCTGATCACGCTCCCCCTGATTTCGATATGAGATAAATGAGTCTCCACAAAATTTAAGCCGCCTCAAATGATAATGGAAATATATTTATTTGATTATTCCTTTTGTAAATAAGGTATTCACTAAGGTGACAATAAACATATTCTTGAATATGTAAATGGATCATTCGTAGAGTTTAACTCATGAGACCTCTGATTATATGCACAACGCATTATCAATTCTTCATTAATTTTATGATCCATATAGATATGCGGTAATTGCATCCATATGATGCATGTCAAGTATTTTGAATACCATCATAAAGTAATTGCATCATAAAAATATACATAACACTAGAAGACCTCTCAAAGGTCATGGGTTATAAGGCTATAATGGGATCATCAATAGATATTATTGTGTGATAATGGTGGGAGTGATGGTGCTTGATGGTGTTGAATAATGGTGGTCATCCACACCTTCTAGAATTCATGACATATACAAATTAATTAAAAATAAGCGTATTTATATTTATTAGAATTAATATTTTTTATTAATAATACAAAATTCAATATATTTTAAAAAATATTTTATTAACTAACACAAATGTATTTATAATAAATAATTAAATATGCTAATAAGTCGATAATTACGTATAATTAGTTAAAATTATTATTTTATATGATAATTAATAAAATGGTGCTGATTAGATTAAATCTTATTTTCACCACTATATTTGATAGGAGAATTATGTTTTGGCGGAAAAGGAAAAAAAAAAAAAGGAAAATGGTTCCTTCAGCAAAAAATTGGCAACAAACTGTTAGATGCATGAACCAATTAAGTGAAACAGACAAGTAACTATTTGTGTATCTGAAATACCAGTTCTAAGATCTTCTCCATGTTGAATAATATAATAATTATAATTGGTTGATAAATTATAATTAAAAGGTAATAATGGGTTGACGACCTCTTAGTACTTAATTGGGGTATTATTAAAAATTGAAATAAGTAATCTTATAATAATAATAATAATAATAATAATAATAATAATTAAATAAATAATAATAATAATAATGTATGTGGATATTGGAAATGTAGCAGTCAATATCGACGGTGAGGACCAAGAGAGAGAGATCAGGGGATTGACCACAAATAGAGAGAGAGAGAGAGAGAGAGAGAGAGAGACGCGGAAGAAACAATTGAATTGATGTAAGCAAAATTAAAATGAGTGGTTCGTGTCATGTGTTTCGTGTGGGCAACAACAAAATTGAATCTTTGATTGACTGAATCAACCCCATACCCCTCTATATATCATTATCATCTTTTAATTAATTAATTAATTAATTAATTAATTTGTGGGCCTTCCAACTTTGCAATTACTTCTTGGTTTATTAATAATTATTGGTCAGCCCCCACACCGGCCTACACATTTACTTTTATCACTATATTATTATTATTATTATTATTATTATTATTATTATTTATTTATTGATTATATATAGATAGATATATGATATATGGTTGCGTCCTAGAAGAAACGATGCGTGGAGTCGTGCATAATAATAAACTAGTAAAAGGTTTATTTAATACAGAAATGATCTAGAGTGAGAAACGGTTTATTCCTTCCATTAATAAATTCCAAGTAAAAAAACATACATGTGCGCAGTGGGGATAATAATATTATTTAATTGTTGCAAAGAGTTGAAACTTGAAATTAATAAAAATACCGTTTCAGCAGATTGGAAAGCTGGGACAACAACACGCACGCAATTTCTTCTATATATCTTACATACAAATAATTATATTAGACAAGAGAAAGAGAAAGAGAAGAGAGGAGGAGAATATACATACATACATACATATACATAAGAGTATCGGAAGAAGAAGAAGAAGAAGATTGTAGTAGTGAAGAAGATAAGATATAATTTGATCATATTTAATAATATGGTATTGGTAGAGGCAAGAGTGGTAAAAGGAGGATCATCAGAAGAAGAGAGAAGAACAAGTAGTTCTTCATCTTCTTCAACAAATGGGGGGCGATTGGGGAACAAGTACGAGTTGGGAAGAACATTAGGAGAAGGCAACTTTGGCAAAGTCAAGTACGCCAGAAACATGGATTCTGAAGGTCAACCCTTTGCCATCAAAATTCTCGACAAGAACACCATTCTCCACCTCAACATCACCCATCAGGTACCTTACCTACCTTATTTCTTCTTCTTCTTCTTCTTCATTTATTATTTTCCTCTCTTTTTTTGATTTGTATATTAATATCTAATTAATTGTTACTACATGGAAATTAATTCTTCAACTTATTATATATTGCAGATAAAGAGGGAGATTGGTACCCTAAAACTCCTCAAACATCCCAATGTCGTCAGATTATATGAGGTAAATACAAATCTATATTATTATTATTATCTTATTATTGAACAAATCATATACAGTTAGTGAAAGCGTAGGTAATGCGCAGTTTACTAATTACTTTACTTGCCTTGATGGGCAGTTAGAAAACAATTCTCTTTACTTGCATTATAATAATAATAATAATAATAATAATAATAATAATAATAATAATAATAATAATAATAATAATAATAATAACTGACTCTGATAACTATCTGTATATATCTTGTGGTTTTCATCCACCAACCAGCACCACATAACTTAATACCAATCAATCATTCACATTATTTCTCTTCAATTTTAATATAATGCCTAACTTCAAATATACTTTGCCAAATTCACCAACATATATATATGGTGTGAGTGCTGCCTAAGTTGGAGAGATAAATTTAAAATGGATAGATAAACAAGAAAATCCCCAAAACCACTAAATTCTAGTGAACAATGTAATTGACTAATCACAGGATGTAATTGACTACTAAATTTAGCTTCGGAAGAATATATGTATATATATATATATATATATATATATATATATATCCTAGCTAGCTAGCTAGGAGGCACTTTAACTAATTTGCTACTAAATATGATGCTAAGCTAGTCTTGTAATTAATGGTTTGAGTATTGGTGCTCCCACCGATCCTTGATGAATGAATGAATGAATGAACAACGTCCTGCATGTATATATCATCAGGTCCTAGCTAGCAAGACGAAGATATACATGGTTCTCGAGTACGTCAATGGTGGTGAACTGTTCGACAGAATTGTAAGTAGCTAGCTACCATGTGTACTTAATAATAATATATCATTTCTATATATGTAACCAAAACAACAACATACTCAATTTTTCAGGCATCCAAAGGAAAATACTCGGAAGGTGTAGGTAGGAAGCTCTTTCAGCAATTAATTGATGGTGTTAGTTACTGCCACAACAAAGGCGTTTTTCACAGAGATCTCAAGGTACGTAGTAATTAGCTAATTAAGGCCTTATTAATAACCGACTGTAGATAGTATTTCATCTGATTAGTTATTATTATTATTATTATTATTATTATTAATAATAATATGTTGGTCGATTATATTATTATATGCAGCTGGAGAATGTGTTGCTGGATTCGAGTGGAATCATTAAGATTACGGATTTCGGTCTCAGTGCATTGCCTCAACATTTTAGGGTACATCATCCATCTCTCAATTCATTCATTCTTGTACATTAACTAGCTAACTATACTAAATATATATATGTATGTAATATCATTCATATAAATTAAATATTAATTAGGATGATGGATTGCTGCACACAACATGTGGAAGTCCAAATTATGTAGCCCCTGAGATTCTTTCAAACAGAGGGTACGACGGTGCAGCCTCAGATACATGGTCTTGTGGTGTTATCTTGTACGTAATTCTTACTGGACACCTTCCCTTCGATGACCGAAATCTGGCTGCACTCTATCAGAAGGTACCTACTAATTTATACAAAATATATATCTAATATTTCCTCTGATCCTCTAATTATAAATGTTCCCTCTTTAATTAATCTTCATCATTATGCATATTATCAATCTTTGATCCATATATCTTTTTCTTCTTTGAAATTGCTCTAGATTTTCAAGGGAGACGCTCAAATACCAAAATGGCTATCTCCAGGGGCCAAAAACCTATTAAAGAGGATTCTAGATCCCAACCCTCGTACACGTATAACCATACAAGAGATAAAAGAAAACGAGTGGTTCAAGCTAGACTACATTCCTTTAATTAATCCCATGGAAGAAGGAGAAGAAGAAGAACAACTACAACAACAACAAGATGCTTGTACTGGTGATGATGATCAAGTGTCATCATCTGTACACGAGACAGCTGTACGTCGACATTTTAGACATGCACACATTATATTTTATCAACAGCTAGCTATTATTTAATTTTGAACTGAAATAATTATTAAGTGCGACTAATGATCATTCCTCATCAATGTACAGCAATCAGATGCCGCAGAAAAAGACTCAAAGTACTCATCCAGTACCATGATTAATGCCTTCCAGCTGATCGGAATGTCTTCGTCTCTGGATCTTTCTGGCTTCTTTGAGAAAGAGGTAATCAATCATCAATTAAGAACACCACCAATATCGAATGCTGTTGTTTAGTATATAACACTATTAGCTACTTATAATATAAGAGTAAATTGCAAATACTACCCCTGTGTTATCTCGAAATAGCGAAAACCCCCCTGTGATAAATAAACTAGCAAAAACCCCCCTGTGAAATTTAGTCAAAGGCAGAATCCCCCCTACTGATTTTTTAGACTTGAAATGACAAAATTGTCCCTCAAAATGTATTTATATATATACATATTATATGTATATTTATTCTTTTTAATTTGTTTGTTTAGAAATTAAAAAAAATAGTAAACAACTAAATTGATTATTTTTTAAATAAAATAATTAAAATATTTATAAAATATAAGAATTTATTAATTGCAAGACTCCAGGGGTATTTGTGTCTTTTTATATCAAGTCAACCCTCAAATAGTTCCATAGGGGGGTTTTTGCTATTTAAATAATTTCACAGGGGAGGTTTTTGCTAGTTTATTTATCACAGGGGGGTTTTTGCTATTTCAAGATTACACAGGGGTAGTTTTTGCAGTTTACTCTATAATATAATGTTTAACAATTGTAATAATTGTCTGCTGCAGGATGTTTCTGAGAGGAAAATCAGATTTACCTCAACTCATTCTCCAAAAGAATTGCTAGAGAGGATTGAAAATACAGTTATACAAATGGGATTTCATGTCCAGAAGAAAAACGGAAAGGTCAGTACGCTTATAACAATCTTCACGGCCAGTAATTTCTTTCAGCAATCTCCCGCGAAATTGAAAGTCTGTGGTGGGACGTACTTATCTAATTATGGTATTTGATCAACTGCACATTAATATACCAACAGTTGAAAGTGATGCAAGCGGCGGGCAAATGTCAGAAATCCCCTGGATGCCTCTTGGTTGCTGCAGAAGTAAGCTAATATTTATATATATTCTAGTAACTAGAGGCCAAAGATTTATTTTAATTAATTAGAAGTGTTATTAATCTTCATATGTATGTATGTATGTACAGGTTTTTGAGATAAGTCCATCCCTATACGTAGTTGAGTTGCGAAAAGCATATGGTGATCCTATAGTGTACAGAGAGGTACATGTATACAACAAGTCCTTCAATCTATGCATATAAATTTCTAACTGCTTGCTGGGTATAATTTTGTGTTTTGAATTTTTATGCAGTTGTGCAATAAACTATCCGATGAATTAGGTGTATCACGAAGCCAAGCGCAGCTCCAAATTGATCTAATATAATGAACCACCCTTGGCTTCTTTAATTTGAAGTGCAAAGATTTTCTTCATCTCCATTTTTTATGCCATTAATTACTCCTGTTATAATTAGCCTCCAACAGTCTCTTCTGGTATCAATGAATTCATTCTTTCAAAGTTCCAATTGTTTTACCAACCCTCATTAGGAGAGTTGGCACCTAGCTTTTACCAATAGGGTAATGGTTTAGGGTTCGAGTCCCCCATCCCCTACTTCCCCTTATAATGGACTTGAATTTACTAAAAAAAAAAGTTTTAATTGTTTTAATCAAGTCCTATATATATAATATAATTATACATACCACACACACGCACATAATATTTATAAAAAAAAACATTCAAACGTTATGTATTATTATAAGAAAGTATGTAAAAATAGAAATTTAAAGATAAATTCAATATATTTAGGACTTTAAATATTTGAATAATTTTGGAACAACTAAATGTCTTAAACTGATAAATAAAGAATATAACTTGGTATCATGCACATAAAACTGTATCCTGCAGGAAAACTCAACTTCCCCAATACGTTTAACCATTTACCAGAATACTGGTATGCTAATAGTTCCAAAAATAGAATAACTAAGATGAAGAAAATCATTCGTCAGCATTAGATTGGAAAAACAATTGCAATTCATGTCCATAAAAAATAGAAGCCAGATCTACATCGTAGGATTTGTAAGCAAAGTGTATTACATATTTGGTCAGATTTACCCAAATCACTATGTATATTTTCTTTAGCTTATATTTGGTTATTTCCTTTCTTACGAAAAAGCTGTATAACTAGAGTTGAAGTCTCTCAGCAAATAAATACATAAGCTTTTCTCGAAAGCACACATTGAATTACACAAGAAATACACTGGAAAAGACACACTGGAAAAAAAACCACGAGGTACATAAAAAACACACACTAACAAAATATACGCACTACACCGTAAACACTCACTTAGAAAAGAAACACATTACACAAAAAACACACAATGAAAAATAAAACACTCACTATATCGAAAACATACACTGAATTACACAAAAATTACAAAAGAAAATAAACACCCGAAAAAAAAACCACGTAGTACACAAAAAACACACACTTTAAAAAACAACCACTACACCAAAGCACACATTGAATAAAATGCACTACACCTTGAAACACACACCAGAAATTGAGTGTACTTCTTGTGTAATTCAGCGTGCGTTTTTCATGTAGTCTGTGTTTTTCTCAAGAAGTACACTGCATTTTCAGTGTGTGTTTCACGGTGTAGTGCATTTTGTTCTATGTGTGTTTTCGTGTAGTGAGTGTTTTTTGAAATGTTTGTTTTAGGTGTAGTGTGTGGTTTTTTTTTTCGCTTTGAATCACTCATTAACTTCACTGGAAAACACATACTGGAAAATAATCCAAGTAGTACATCAAAAACACATACTGAAAAAAAAAACACGCACAACACTAGAAACACACACTGGAGAAAATACACACTGCACAAAAAACACACAGTGACAAATAAAATACACACTACATCGAAAACACACATTGAATTACATAAGAAATACACTAGAAAAAAAACCATGCAGTACATAAAAAACACACACTAACAAAAAAAAACGCACTACACAGTAAACAAAGTCCTATATTTATGAATAAGTTTGGAGATTATGCAAAAATCTGAAAATTTAGAGACCTACTATATTTCTTGTTGGTGTTGAATTTTCTTCTACAATTTCTATATGTTGAAGCCAAATGGAGTTTGCTTACTCTATTGGAGATGCCCTAATACCTGAGAATACAAATATTAATACGAATAACAATACCGAATATCAATGTCAATACCAATATCAATACTAATATCAATATTAATACTAATACGAATACTCATATCAATACTAACACTAACACTAACACTAACACTAACACTAACACTAACACTAACACTAACACTAACACTAACACTAACACTAACACTAACACTAACACTAACACTAACACTTAAACACTTACATTAACACTAACACTGATATTGATACTAATACTGATACTAATACTAATACTAATACTGATAATACTAATACTAATACTAATACTAATACTAATACTAATACTAATACTAATACTAATACTAATACTAATACTAATACTAATACTAATACTAATACTAATACTAATACTAATACTAATACTAATACTAATACTAATACTAATACTAATATTAATGTGCTAATACAAATAGTAAAAGTAATAATAATAGTAAATTAGTAATGGTGTAGTCTATTATGAATTATTTATGTATTTTAACAATAATTTATATAAAATAAGAATTGATTCCATTTAAATATCGCAAAACTTAACAAATAATCATCGAATATATATTTCAATCATTAAACTCAATATATATTCATAGGGATCAATTCAACAATTTCCGAGCCTTTTGGAATTGGAATGAATTTTAGATTCCGAAATTTTTGGAATTGGAATTGAAATTGATTTTGTATTTTCGATGTTTTGGAAAGTTTCCGAAAACGCTAATTCTGATCCGATCCATCCGATTTTCACCCCTACTTATACTGGTACTCATAGTGATACTATCATTGATATTGATATTGTTATTGATACAAATACTAATATTGATACTAATATTATACTAATATTGATACTAATACTTATAATCATATAAATACTCATACTGATACTACTAATGATACTCATAACGCTATACTGATAGTAATATTAATACTTATACTGATATTGATACTCATTCTAATATCGATACTCATACTAACGATATATAATATATATTTAATCGAGAGACACCAAATATTTACTTCAAAAAAATATTTACTTAAAAAATAGTAATTATGAAAATGCAATAATTAAGAGAACTTTTACCATTCAACTTTCTATCAAATCTTATTCTATTAAATCATTCTCACTATCTAAACACCTAATTGTTTTAAAGCCCAAGAAACGAACAAAAGAAAAATATAGAAACGTATAGAAGTATTTGTTTTTTAACGATGTTTTTCAATTATATTTGATTCTTGATCTATAAATTTCTCTTTCAAAACTAATATTTTTTTTACTATGCTACTCATCCTCATATATTCTGGATAAACTATATTTTAACTTACATTATTTTGATTAAGGTTTATAAATATATACTTATTTTCTGCTATTACCTACAAATATTCCGTTCTGTTCCTGTAGGATGTTTGTGTTCAAAAAAATCGCTAAAACACCATAATCTTATATATAAAAGAAAGAAACGCTGAGCAACCCTAATAACATTCCTGTAATTATTTATTTTTAATATTTTTTATTTATATATAAAAGAAAGAAACGCTAAGCAACCCTAACGGCATTCCTGTAATTATTTATTTTTAATATTTTTTATGTACTTTCCTACCTATATTTTTCAACAAATCAAAATTGACACTGAACCTTGAAGAATCCTTTCGGCTTCAATCTTCTATTTTTCATGAATATATCTCAAAAGTCAAATCTTATATCTCAAAAGTCAAATCTTAAGAGATAAAGATAAAAATTCGATTTGTTAAATCTTAACCTATTTATTTGGATTATAAATTTTACTACGTAAAAAAAACTAATGTTATATAAAATATGAATAGTACTATTTTCTTATAAATTTTACTATATTAGTGTATTATATTTTTTCTTATGTATTAAATTGATAATTTTTTATCACTTTTAAAATATGATCCCGTGCATCGTACGGGGAAAAATGCTAGTAAAGATTAAAAGAGTGCTAGATATGTTATTGTAATTATTTAGTACCTTCCTCGCAATAAAGAGGAAAAACGTGATATCCATAATTGTTCTGGCAAACTTTTTTGCAAACCGTTTTTATAAATATATAATATATAGATGTAGATATATATTATATATAATGATTTATACTGCTTTATGGAATCTTCATACATAAAGGGCTTGAACATTACATTGCACAACTTAACGAACGATCATTAAGATTGCAATATACATCATGATTTCCTTCATAATATATAGATTTTGTTTCAATTTGGTTTAATTAGTTAATTCTTAATACAATAAAATATTATTTTAAATAATATCACATTAATCATTCAACGTAAATTTGAAATGTGAAGTGTAATTCAAATATATATATATATATATATATATATATATATATATA